GAAGCAAGATTTCATAAAAACTGCTGAAAGTATTTATTTTTATGTTCATTTTAAATATTTATTTTAACTTAGAGCATTTAAGTACACAGTTTGTCAATTTTGATACAGGGCCAGGCACATATCTTTGGCTTTGTACCCACTGATGGGAATTTTGCTTTGTTTATCTTATATAAGCCACAACCATAAAGCTGTAGTTTCTAGTTTTCTTTATTTTTTTCAGTAGAACAATGATTTAATATACTTAGGAAGTAGTCTGACTGAAGTATTCTTTCCTCCATCCAACCTTTATAGTTATCTTGGCCACATTTAATTCAACAGCTTTAAGTATTATTTTTTCTTTATTGGTATGTGGTCATTATTAAGTCTTTATAAATCATTTAGTTTCATAAAAATAACTATTTTTAGAGAATCTTACTCTTATGTACTTCTGGGTTATGGCTTTATTTTTAGGCATCTCAACTTGAGTGTGAGACCAAAGCAGTTGTCGTCCTTAGTAAGAAGCGGTGTTCCTGAAGCTCTTCGAGGAGAAGTCTGGCAGCTGCTAGCAGGTTGTCACAACAATGACCACCTGGTAGAAAAATACCGAATTCTCATCACAAAGGTAAGGGCATGGTGATTCAGCTTCAGCATTAATATTTTGGGAAATTTGTTACAAAAAGATCATTGTGGCTACTTGATTTCCAATAATTTTCTTTATAATTCCTTTACCTTATAGAACAGAACTTTTATACTTTGTTGGCACAAAGGAGAAGGATAGTTTTTCTTCTTTGATTGATTTCACCTCAGAGGCAAAGGATGTCCTCTACCCATTGTGTGCCTAAATCTTTTTATTTATTTTTTTTACCATAATTGCATTCCATTCCATTTTTAGTTAGATCAGTTGTGCTATGCAGTGTGTAAAAACTTTCTTTTGTTTATTTTAATCCTTTTCACATGTCACAGAAATGTACTCTTTGTAAGGTAAGGTCTACTTCTAGTTTCTGCAATTGGAAGAATATAGTTCTGTTACCTTAAACCAGATTTTCTTTTAGCTTATTTCTCTAAATTGAAGAATTCTCATTTTTTTAGTATTTCCTTCTCAAATTCATGCATTCTTCAAGGTTTTACAAGTTGATTTTTCACTTTATTGGAAAATCATATTTTGGATGTTTAATTCTCAGTTCTAACTATTTCTCTAGTTTCTCTTTTGAAGTCCTTCAAAATTTTTGGCCGAAAATTAATTCTTAAATATTTTTGGTGGGGCCGTTCATACAGATAATTTCAAAAACATGAAGTATTTTATTTTCTGTTCCATGAACATGAGGAAGTCTGTTTTTTGAATAGGAATTTGATAATTACATGACTTGTAAAATATCAGCTATTAACAAATCTGGTATATTTGATTGTTTTACATATGCTGATGTCACGTGCTTTGTATTGCATATTAAATTTTGATTATCATTCACATGGCTAGAATTTAGAAAGATCTTTAATGATGTGTATGTTAGTTTAAATTGCTGGTAGGTGTTCGAAAAATGCAAATTATTTAATCATCATAATATTGGCAAAAATAGTTTTTTTTAAATTTTTTACAGTGTAGTGTTATTTGATGCAAGTTGGTATTGCTTTAAATGCAGTCATTTTTCTGAATGTCTCATTTGCTGTTTTTTTTGTTTGCTTTCATTTGAAAAAAATTTCTGAGAGTATTCCATTGTATCAGTAAACCACACTTTAAAAAAGTCTATTCTGCTATTATGGATGTTTGTGAGGTTCCCCGCCCCATTTTTTTGTTTATTATGAAGAAAGTTGCTTATGAACATTTTTGAATATAGGAGGTGCTATGGTTTTGAATATTTGTGTCTTTCAAAATTTATATGTTGAAACTTAATCTCCAAGGATATTAGGAGATGGAGCTTTTGGGATGTGATTAGGTCTTGAGGTCAGAGCCCCTTAATGCCTTTATAAAAAAGGTTCTAGAAAGATCCCTTGTCACCTTACACCATGTGAGGACACAGCAAGAAGTTGGCAGCCTGCGAGCCAGAAGAGGGCTTTAAACCGTGCTGGTCCCTTGATCTTGGACTTCCAGCTTCTAGAACTGTGAGCAATAAATTCCTGCAGTTTTATAAATCATCCAGTCTGTAGTATTTTGTTGTAGCAGCCCAAACAGACCAAGACAACAGGATTTGTACATACTATTTTCATATATATATATATATGTAAAATTTACATATATTACTACTTTTTGGAAGTTATTTATTCTGGACTTGGGTTCTTTGCTGTATGTTCAGAAATTTCACGTATAATATTACCTTGGAGGGTTTTTTTTTTTTTTTTTGCTTAGCTCCTTCAAAGACTAAATTTAAAGGAGGAGAAAGTGACTTGATTTACAGAATGAAGGCCAAAAAAAACCTTGCAGCCAGGTTTTTTATCTTTCCCAAAGTGACATGTCATATATTATTTTGGCTGTTTTATTTTTTAAAAACAGCAACAACAAAAAAACATTAAATAATACATAGAAATTGGGAAATTCATAAAATAAAGAAAATCATAAAGGAGAAAATAAAAAATTACTTGTAATCCAACCGTCAGTGAAAAATAGAGTTGAATTTTAATGAATTTCCTTCCAATAATGTATATGCAGAAATAGTTATTCTCTCTTTTGTAAAAATCAAATATCGATACATCATGAGACTGCATTATTTTTAAAAAGGAAATAAATGTATAGATTTTTGTGAGGACATAGATTTATTGCTCTCATGTCATAAATACTTTGTTTTTTCTCAAAATAAAACACTTAACTCCTGACTGATTTGATAAAGTGTGGCTATCAGGTTGTTTGTTTGATTGATTGTTTTTATATGAATACTAGAGAACCAGTGCATGAAAATTCATGCACTGGAGGGGGGCGCGCGTCCTCAGCCTGGCCTGCCCCCTCTCAGAGTCCAGGAGCCCTCAGGGGCGGGAGGCAACCTGGCTGTTAGGGAAAGGTGATGCCCCATCACACTTCTGCTGCTGCCACTGCCAGTGCATTCCTTGGCCGGCCCTGATTACCTGAGCCTTGGGTGGCCCTGGGCAGCTGGACAACTACCATCCAAGGCTTGCCTGAACCTTGGGCTGGCCCTTGTCAGCTGGGCAGCTGCCACCCAAGGCTTACCTTTGCCTCAGGCTGGCCCTGGGCGGCTAGGAGGCTGAAGGGACTGGGGAACTCCAGAGTGAGGTGCGTGGAGTGGCTGGACCTGCCAGGTGGGCCTGGCCTTGCTCCATGTCTGCCACCCTGGAGGGGCTGAGGGGACTGGGTGCCGCCATATTGTGGCTGTGGGTGCTGCTATATTTGAGGATATGACAGTCAACTAGCATATTCCCTCCTTATTGGCTGTGGGTGCTGCCATCTTTGAGGGCGTGGCAGTCAATTAGCATATTCCCTCCTTATTGGCTGTGGGCACCACCATCTTTGGGACAGCGTGAGGGTCAATTAGCATATTCCCTCTTTATTAGATAGGATTTTGATTACAGCTCCAAAGACTAGTTTTACTAAAATAAAAACAAATTTAGAAGACCTATTATTGTACTAATGGTTGTAGTATAACAGCTTATAGTTTTTTGCACTTTTATTACATTTTTAATTCTTTCAAGTCATCAGCCAATGTAATATATTTTTATCAGCATAACCATTTAGTTTTAAACATGAGTAACCTGGGATGTAGAGATAAAGTAAGTTACATGGCCAAATTCACAAGGAAAAGACTGGACTCCTGACTTTGGCAAATGCCTTTTCTGTTATTGAACTAAAGCTTCCTTATTTTCATTTAATATTTATTAAGCACTCAAAAATGGGAGTTCAGAAATATAGTTTATAATAAATGGTTTGGCTGGAGTTTAAGTTCTTTGGGGGGATGTGGAATAGTGGTATCAGATTGGAAAGGCAATTAGGAGCCATTGACTCTTATTGAACAGTGGATGCCATAATAAAGTATGTGATACTGGCTATTCAATTGGGCAGAAATAAATATATTAGAAAAATGAGTAAGATTAGAAGTCTAGATGATATTTAATGATGGCCTAAAGTTAAGTAGTAAAAACTGAAGAAGTGAATTTGAGAGCTGTTGAAGAAATAGATTTCCGGGAAATGGTGCATAAGAACATTGTATTGAGAGTGAGAGTGGTCAAGATGATTTCTAAGTTTCATTCTTGAGTGCTTAGAACATTGGGATAAACAAGACAGGCTTATTTGGTGGAGAAACTAATCTGTGGTGCTCTGGTTGAAATCTCAACAGGACATCCAGGTCTTGTAGTTGTGTGACAGCAGGCAAATTATAGATGGAAAAAGGAGCTTGGGAATGACTTTATGGCTGGTGACAAAGAGAAATTATTTGTGTAGAGGGAATAATTGATGCCATATCACCTTCCCAGGTACCTTCACTGGCCTCAGAAAGTATCATAATAACTGTGTGTGCCTTAGAAATGGGCAGTGACAGTAAGAGAGGGCACTTTATATTCAGGAACCTAGCCTCAAGCAATGCAGCATGATTGGTAAGAAAGCACAGGCTATTTTAATTGCATGAGAAAAAAGTAAAGTTTTATACTCCATATGTAATACATATGGGGAAGTTTTTATTTCACAACAATCCCATGAAATAGGGAGTGTGATTCTCATTTTACAGATGATAAAACTGAGTCTTAGACAGGCCAAGTAATATTAGAGCTAGGATTTGAACTAGATGAGTGTTCAGTGCCACTGGTCCTTTTACTATGCCACATTTTGCCATGTTTTCCAATAAGACCTGTCCAAATGAATTTGAAATGTGATTGATTCTGATATTATGGCTGTCCATTTGCCTGCAATGAGAAAGCATATGTGTGAAACAAAAAATGCAAATTGGGATCATGTAACATTGATCTTCACCCAGTATGCATAACTTCTGAAATGCTTTGAAATACCAACATTTATTTTTATTTTCTTTTACTCTGCTGGGTCTGTGGAATTTTATTGAGAAGGATGAATTGAAAATCCAGAGATACACGTTTTCTAATTAGCTAAAATTTGTCATCATTTATAACATTACCAGAAGAGCTACACACACAAAAATCTCACTTTGCATTGTTTTAAGTAGGCACAAACAAGATTGTGTATTCTGAGATACAAAAGCTAATTTGTACCAAGAAACTTCCTTTGATTTTCAAGCCTGGTGGAAACGGTACCTTTACTTTTCCATCTTTTGTTAGATGTTTGTGTACTGTGTCTCAGCAAACTAGAAGCAAGACATGGCATCTTGAAACTAAGGTTGTGTTAGATATAGGAATAATATAATTCATCTTCTGTGTCTACACGAGGGTGAACTTCTCTTGATTTTTAAGTTTGCTTGTTATTTTGGTCATCTTTCTTAATATTGGTCACTATCCAGTGATTCATGAGAAAATTAATGCTGAATATTTAGCCTTTTAGCTAGAACTTCTTGTGCCGCTGAATTGATTCCTCAGTTGCCTTGCACTCGTAACACACTTTCATTCTTTAACATTGCTCTTCCATCCTTGGGAAAATGCTACAGGGAAATGGGAATTTCCTCTCAGCATTACCCCTCTGGCAGTGTGTTTAAGTCGGGGGCTGGCTCTCTGTTTGGGTTTCTGCTCCTTCTCCTTCATAGCAGTTTGAATTATGCTCCTCTACCAAAAGGAGGGAGGGCAGTTATCCCCCCCTGTGCAGTCTGGAAATCGGGGCGCGCCTCTCTGGTGATGAATCGCTATGAGCTGCTGAAGATGCCAGTGTGTGTGCCTGCACAAGCATTTTCTTTCCCCTCCCCCACTGCTTCCCTTTCCCAAGCCCCCTCTCTCCCCATTTCCCCTCCTACTCCTTATCCCCTCCCTCCGTGTCTCAGTTCTGCAGTAAACCAGGCTGAGGCACATTCCTGCTTTGCAAGGCTTTCTGTTAAGGATGTTTTGTGGCTTTTGTTTGGATTGCAGCATGCAGAATTACAGGTAATACTCTGAAATCGAGCTAGGCAGATAAATTCTGTTGAAATGTTTTCAAAGAGACAATATATTACACGGGAATCAAGAAAATAACTTATTTTATTCATTGTAATTATGCTAAAATGTTTTTAGAAATGCAATAAGCAGGTTTCCTTTTCTCCCCTAAGGCTCCAGTGAAAGGAAAATGGGGGTAGATTGTTCTGACTGCAATCGACTCTTTTGTTGTTGTTGTTTATCATGAAAGCTTGCGGTAGCTGTACCTCCTCTGTACAGTAAGGACCAGTTAGTTATGTGGGGTGCTACTGAGGGTAGTACTGGGTGGGGTGGGATGGAGTGGGAGGGATGATAGCCTGAGCTAGCCAGATTCTTTTATTTTTTACTGGGATGCATAATATAAAATGCTCTCTCCTTTTCTTCTATCAGCTATTCAGAGGAGACTCATTACAACTCCTGCTGAAGCTCCTAATTTTCTTCCCTTCTCTTCTGCCCCTACTCCCTACCCTCATTGGCCTGAAGACATTGTTCCCAGAATTTGCTTTACTCCCCTGGCACTATGTGTATGGTAAACCTGATACTATGGCCGTGTCTGGGACTGGCCAGACAACGGCTGCCTGCTCTCCCTATTCCAAGGACTTAAAGGGGGATTGTACTGCAGGCAATGCATCAGAGCAGCACCATCGAGAGCCCAGGGACTGAGGCTCCTTGGGCATTATTACAAACACAGAGCGCTGACCGCAATGACAGCAGCTGCTCCTTTGAACTGTTGGCAGCGGCCAAGCGGCAGCATGAAGTGAGAGATTACTTCTGAGCTCAAGATGAACTCCACCTTGGATGGTAATCAGAGCAACCACCCTTTTTGTCTCTTGGCATTTGGCTATTTGGAAACTGTCGATTTTTGCCTTTTGGAAGTGTTGATTATTGTTTTTCTAACTGTATTGATTATTTCTGGCAACATCATCGTGATTTTTGTATTTCACTGTGCACCTTTGTTGAACCATCACACTACAAGTTATTTTATCCAGACTATGGCATATGCTGACCTGTTAGTTGGGGTCAGCTGCCTGGTTCCTTCTTTATCACTCCTCCACTACCCGCTTCCAGTAGAGGAGTCCTTGACTTGCCAGGTGTTTGGTTTTATAGTATCAGTTCTGAAAAGTGTCTCCATGACCTCTCTGGCTTGTATCAGCATCGACAGATATATTGCCATCACTAAACCTTTAACTTATAACACCCTGGTTACACCCTGGAGACTACGCCTGTGTATTTTCCTGATTTGGTTGTATTCCACGCTCGTCTTTCTGCCTTCCTTTTTCCACTGGGGCAAACCTGGATATCACGGAGATGTGTTTCAGTGGTGTGCAGAGTCCTGGCGCACCGACCCCTACTTCACCCTGTTCATCGTGATGCTGCTATATGCCCCAGCGGCCCTCATTGTGTGCTTCACTTACTTCAACATTTTCCGCATCTGCCAGCAGCACACAAAGGAAATCAGCGAAAGGCAAGCTCGCTTCAGCAGCCAGAGTGGGGAGACTGGGGAGGTGCAGGCCTGTCCGGACAAGCGCTATGCCATGGTTCTGTTCCGAATTACTAGTGTGTTTTACATCCTCTGGTTGCCATACATCGTCTACTTCTTGTTGGAGAGCTCCACTGGCCACAGCAACCGCTTCGCATCCTTCTTGACCACCTGGCTTGCCATTAGTAACAGTTTCTGCAACTGTGTCATTTACAGTCTCTCCAACAGTGTCTTCCGAAGGGGACTAAAGCGCCTCTCGGGGGCCATGTGTACTTCCTGTGCAAGTCAGGTCATAGCTAAGGACCCTTACACAGTTAGGAGCAAAGGCCCTCCTGATGGATGCCATGTCTAAAGAGGTTCAGATATTGGGTCATTGTATGTGTGGGGGGTGGGCAGAGGGGAGATCCTTTTTCTCCCTTTGTATTCCTTGTTCACTAGAAAATCTGGGCAAAATAATTTGACTCTGAGCAATAGGAAACAAATGATCCATCCAAAAAACCTAAGTTTGCAGAAATGATTTTTCTTTAAAAATGCTTTTAAATCAGAAGAATCAGGACTATGAAGATAAATTGCTCTTGGTTCCAATTTTTGTGATGCTGTGGAAATGATGAAATTCTCACATTTAAAATGAATAAAGTCATATCTCACACCTCTCTGGCTGGCATGACTAAAACCTGGGTGTGAAAAGCGTCACCATTTTGAAATACCATCATTTTCTTGTGGCTTTTCTGGATTCCAATTATTTGGGCTTCATATGCAATTTATTTCTTTTAACTGCAAATATTAAAATGTGATGAATTAACAGGGTTTTAAGATTTTGTTTATGTATGCCTAAGTATAACTTTGCTAGTTTCAGCACTGTCATTTAGATATCCAAATGTTTTATGTCTTGTTCTCTTGAGAGAATTCTCAATACAGTGAATAATGTGGAGACCTAAATACTAATTTTAGAATTTTGCAATGAAAGTGATGCTAAAGTGCAGTCAAATACTAGACAATGTGTGAAGAACTGAGCTACTTTTTGTCATGTTTAAAAGAGATCTAAAGAAATGTGTGCATTGAAAATGATTCTGTTGCAGTATTTTTGCGCATGCCTTTGTGTATATGTGTACTGAGAGTATTTGAATTGAGTTAGATTTCACTTTTACAGTAAAATGTACATTTAACTAGTTCATTTTTAAAATAGAAGAGGATTAATTGAGATGTTCTCTTTGTGGTTAAATGGAATCAACTAATAAAGCAGCAACTGATTTTTTTTTAAAGCATTCTTTTAGTTAGTGTTAAGGAGTCCATGTTTGCATACGAGGAGAAATTCTGATTTGTCTATCTCTCTAATTGCTGTAATCCTTTGGGATACAGTTCTTTTCTTTTTTATTTTTTAAATATATTTTATTGATTTTTTACAGAGAGGAAAGGAGAGGGACAAAGAGCTAGAAACATCGATGAGAGAGAAACATCGACTAGCTGCCTCCTGCACAACCCCCACTGGGGATGTGTCCGCAACCAATATGTACATGCCCTTGACCGAAATCGAACCTGGGACCCTTCAGTCCTCAGACCGACGCTCTATCCACTGAGCCAAACCGGTTTCGGCTACAGTTCTTTTCTTAATAGTCTTTTTCTTTTCTCTTTAAGCCTAATCTGTAGGATTTTATTATCCTAGAGAATTATTAATTGAGAATGCAGTGTATTTGTATGTAGTAGTGTTTTGTTCTTAGTTGATTATCTTTAGAGCTAGAGGTTTATTTTCGGAAAGGAGAGAAGGGTTTCCCAGCAGCTCCAGGAATGAGTATTTCCTCAATTTATCTGCTGGTTTTAATGTTTTGGAAGCCTTCAGAGAACTTATGTGTTCTCTGTATTTGGCCAGAAGTTGTAATCTGAATGCTATTGTGATGTTTAGTGAGATGGGAGATGGACGAAACTCAAGGAACATAGGTGAAAGTAGATTTTTAAATCTAAGAAAGGACTTGGATATTTATCATATAGGCAGATAATGCTTTGGTTTTCCATCATAATATGAGGAAAGTTCCTACCCCTTTTACAACAAAGGGCAGCTTTATGATTTTAGATATTGATTTGCTTTTAACCTCAATGTGTTCTATTTAAACTTTTATTTTAGTGATTAAGTAATATATAAAATTTAAACTTAAAATTTTGAGTACTTCCCTCAAACTTGCTTGCTCTTTATATTTTATATTGGAAAATTTGATTCTAAGTTGTTTCAAAATTTAGAATTCATATTGAAATTGCAAGTTAAGTTAGCAGTGACTATAAATTGCCAGGTCAAGCGGAAAACCTTTTCTTTTGAATTCCAAAAAAACAGTGTGCACATTCTTCTTTAAGTAGCACAGTTTAAAGAAAATTTTTTTTTCTTGTATGCTGGAGAATGTAATCTGTTCAAATTTACCAAGTTAGCTTGAGAATTTTTTATTAAGGAAATATGGGAATTTTAAAGATTTTCAGTAGATTTTACTTTTTGGTGGGCTAAGAGTCCTTTTAATCTTTCCCTTCAATAGGGTTCCATCTTGTGAGAATGGAAAAAAATAAAATTTCTGCTTAACTTTCTAGAAATGGCTAATTTGGTTTTTGGTGACTGGAAATAACTCTTAATAAGAGCCTTTGTTAATAGAGTTTTACATTTTATAATATCAAATTTAGATGTCATAGAGGTATTGTTTTTTTCACATTAGAAACTTTATTAGTGTCTTAGTCTAAAACTGAAGTAGAAATTAAGTAAATTGAGTAATTTAAAGAAAAATAAAGCTTTTAATCCCCTTGCCAATTGATATTTGCTTAATGTCAGATTTTTATTTTTATTTTTATTTTTTTTTAGTTTATCCTGTCTGTATAAATTCTATAGTTTCTTCCAGGTATCAGTTCTATTCTCACGTTTATTGTCTGTATTGCTGTTTTATTTTCATTTTCGTGTGTGTGTGTGTGTGTATGTTGGTGAAAGGGGAAATGCTCAGATTCAATCTTCTGTGGCAGGGGGCAATTTCTAAGGGATACATTTGTAGAGTTTGTATTTAAGTAATCTTTTTGTCTGTCATATTTAATGCAACATTTGGTGATGTATGGGTTAAATACCAATCTGACTAGTTCGGAATGAGAAAAAAGTATATTTTTAAGACTCCAGTTACCTTGGGCTTGGCAATACAACACGTTTAACTTTATATGGTATATGACTGATGTATATGAGGCAGCATGAGCTTTTGGTGATTGTGTCAAAATTATTTCATAATACATTTTAAAGTAAGATCATATTAATTGTATTTGTAAATTAGGTGTGTGTTTTTTATACAATGATTTATTTCAGTGAAGGTGTATTACAAAAAGACAAATGCTCCACTTTAATAAAAGAACTACCTTATACCAGAATAGATATTTAAATTTTTCATGGACGTGTTGAATCACCCTAAATTCCATTTTGGAAAGGGTTTTCTTTAGGCTTTATTGCTGGATAAATTCCTTTTTGAGCCTGTAATTTTACAATGGCTTTTACTTTTTACTTGAATAGTGTTCTGTTTTAAGGATTGGAAAAACTTGAATTTTTGTGCTATAAATGCCTTGTCCACCTCTCTGAACTTGAACATAAAGGTTGTAGGCTCTCAGATAATAAGAATGGTTTCTGAGAGTTTTTTAGGTTTGATTTTAAATTTGTACAGTGGTTTTGTATTAGGTCTAGTAATAATTAATGTCGTTTTCTAATACCTTTTTTAAATCGAATTTATTTAAACAATACAACAAAATTTAATCAACAATATAGTTGCCGTTGTTTTCTACTACTTGTGCCCTACACTCAGGAAGCATTTTAATCCCTCTGTTGTAAAATTCTTGTGATTTTGATGCAAAAAATTCGGTCAATGCATTTTTGAGGCATTCTTCATTATTAAATTTTTTTCCAAGAAGAAAGTTTTGCAAAGAACGAAACAAATGGTAATCGGAAGGGGCAATATCAGGAGAATATGCAGGTTGAGGGAGAACTTCCCATTCCAACTGGCGCAGTTTTTCAGCAGTGATTCTTGCAGTATGCAGTCGTGCGTCATCGTGGTGAAGAATTACGCCCTTCCGATTAATCAGCGCGGGTTCTTTTTCTCTTAAAGCTTGGGCTAACCTTTCCAATTGGGCACTATACACTGCACTTGTAATGGTTTGGATAGATGGTAATAGTTCATAATGAAGAATTCCTTTAAAATTCCACCAAACACACAACATCACTTTTTTCGCATGCAAGTCAGGTTTTGGCGTGGGCTGCGGAGCCTCATTTTTGTCCAACCATTGAGGCCGCCTTTTCAAATTAACATACAGCACCCATTCTTCATCTCCGGTAACAATTTGCTCTAAAAACAGCAAACGGTTCTGACGAGAGAGGAGCAAACTGCAAATTGTGACTCTTTGATTACGGTTGTTGTCGGTCAACTCATGAGGACCCCATTTTCCAAACTTTTGGACTTTGCCAAGTGCACGCAATTGATTGGAAATTGTTTTTTGTGAACAATTTAAAGTTGTCGCAAGCTCTTGTTGGGTAATTTGAGGATTTTGCACCAAAAGAGCTTGAAGAGCTTCTTGATCAAAATTGGACACACGGCCTCGACCACTCTTGTCATCTAACAAAAAATTTCCCTCGCGAAATTTCTCAAACCAACGCTGGCATTTTCTGGCGCTAACTGCATCTTGACCAAGAGTACTACAGATGTTTTTTGCAGCCTCACTTGCTTTTCTTCCTAATTGGAGCTCGTAAAGCATGCAGTGCCAAATATGCTCTTCATCCGCCATCTTCTTAGCCCTAGTTTTGCAACAAAAACCAAACCAAACACAAACTTTTTCAAGCAAAACTTGTTAATTGCACTTCACACGTTCTGTAGATACCACGTGTTTGAAGGTTATGTCAATACAAGTCAACGCCAAGCAAGATTTTAAACGAATGTTTAAAAACGACATTAATTATTACTAGACCCGATAGGAAATGTTTTAATTTCACTGACTATGTGTTTTTGTATTATAAAAGATTTGTTAAATAAATTATTGGCAAACTAAAACTTACTGTTATATGAGCAGATTTGGGGAAGTATAAGGATGGAGAATTGTGGCATGATGAGAGTTGTTAAAAGTCTTCATCAATTAGTTTATATATTGATTTTTCCATGTTAGGTTTAAGAAATACTAAATATTGTACATTAAATATACATAGAAGTATATTTTGCAGACTCTGAGAGTAGTCTGTACAATTTTTCTATGGCTGTAAATAAGTAATTTGGCTTTTCTTCAAAATTTGGGAGATGGCATGACAGTATGCTTAAACTGAACTTTGAACCGATAATCAGAAAATCTGGGTTTACTGTTACTAGTTCATTTTTTACTACTTTGCTTTTAATATTAGCAGTCAGCCAGAGATCACTGGCCTTTTGAAAAAATCTTTTTATGCTGAAACCGGTTTGGCTCAGTGGATAGAGCATCAGCCTGCGGACTGAAAGGTCCTGGGTTTGATTCCGGTCAAGGGCATGTACCTGGGTTGCAGGCACATCTCCAGTGGGCGGTCTGCAGGAGGCAGCTGATCGGTGATTCTCTCTCATCAATGTTTCTGACTCTCTGTAAAAAATCAATAAAATATATTTAAAAAAAGAAAAGAAAAAAATCTTTTTACATAAA